AGATTGTGTGGAATCCGCATGAGACATTTCACCAAGACTGAGCACGGAGGAAAGCTGGGTCAGTTCGGATCAATTGGGGGAAGGGTTGCGCTATATATACCTAAAAGCCAGTGCCAGGCTCAATTCCGCCTCAAGGGGCCAACACCGTGAACGGGGATCACCGTTTGGAAGGGTCTTACTAAGGCTGACCCCCGGATTCAGAAACCTTGTGGATAAACCAGGGGTGGCTGGCCCGAAAGTGGCGATATCCCCTCTAACATGGGGCAGGGTGCGATTCAAATCAAGCAAATCAACAAAGTCCGCACCAGTGGGGGTGGATGAACCCTTCAATTTTTTGTCTCTTCACGGAAGGCCACACCTTATTCGCGCATTCCTCTCGCAGCAACACCTCGGCGATCAGGGGCCCCGGTGAGTATATGTCCCTTTGAAGTCACTTCAAACAGCACTTGAAGCTTGGTCCAATCGCTGATTTTCGTCTAAGAGGCCTTATGCATAACACCACGCTTCCCCCACCCCCCCGGGCCTTCCATGACGCTTGGGGTGATTTTGTTGTGTGTGTGATTGTGTGAGATTGTGTGAGATTGTGTGAGATTGTGTGAGATTGTGTGAGATTGTGTGAGATTGTGTGAGATTGTGTGAGATTGTGTGAGATTGTGTGATATTGTGTGAGATTGTGTGATATTGTGTGATATTGTGTGATATTGTGTGATATTGTGTGATATTGTGTGATATTGTGTGATATTGTGTGATATTGTGTGAAATTGTGTGAAATTGTGTGAAATTGTGTGTGTGTGTGTGTGTGTGTGTGTGTGTGTGTGTGTGTGTGTTTTTGGAGATACGTGGGGAGCCCTGGCGCCCCAAAAAATCGGAAGATCGCAGGTGAAGCACATGTCCTTCGCAGCGGGGCCGCGGCTCAGCACCTGGCGCAGTGGCTGTGCCGCTGGGATGTAACGAAGACCTGTCAGGGCTTCGGTTTCCCCGCTGATTTCCCAAAGACCACAACGGTGGCCCTGCCGCCGAAAAAAGCCAGAAAGTGGATGTGTGTTTTTGGTTTCTGCCATGTTTTTTGGTTTGTGGGATGGGGGAACAGATGGTTTGTCCTTTCGGGCCTTGTCCAAGCCACCGCAACTGTCAAGCACAAAGCGTGACAGAGCCCAAAGCGAAGCTGGCAAATATCTGTATCTGAATTCGGAAGATACTTCGAAGTGTTAGCCTGGAACAAACAAGTTAGTTGGAGATTTGATGGGCCAAACAGATGTCTTTGACCTCAAAAGGTGAAATCGACTCCGAGGTGTCGACAGGGCGGTTGTCAAGAGATGGCCCCTTTGGACACTGGCGCCGCCTTGTGCACCCCAAAGATCCCAAAAAGGAGCCTCATTCTGACAACCCCGTGGCTGCTGGCTCCGTCAAGCTGGGTGGAAGACCGTGGCTTGGGGTTTGGAGGTTGTGTAAAAGGCAAACCAACGGGCTGTCTGCCTTTTGGGGTTTTCTTTAGCTCGGAAAACACATCAATTGAAGCAACCAGCATGGGAGGCGCCATTTTCAGGGGTCCACTATTTTCCGAGTCCTTGTTGGGTCAGGTGTTTTTAAGACATCTCTTTCCATGTACTGCAAGAGCCATTTCCTATTGGAGACACAAGCCCTCATACAGGCAAAGGTCCTAAAAATCCCCCCTTCTTGGAATCATCACACAGTTCATTATCATGAAAACGCCATTTCCCTTCACCGGTGCCATGCTATTTGCCAAGGCAGCAGCTCCCTCCTGATGGTGCCATGAAAGCTTGGTGCCTCTTGAAGTCTTGGGCCTTGACTCGCGATGCCTTTCTGCGCGGTGAACCAACGACGTCAGGGCTTTGCATGTGCCCTAGGATTAGTTTTAGGGAATTAGATGTCGAATGAATGCAATGTACCAGAGCACAGAAGGCTGAACAGAGGACTTACATCCAATGCTGATGCTTTGCTAGGTCCCTTAGCAGCCTTCTTTGCGGATGTGAGGGCTATGTCGCTTGCAGGAGTGCTCTGCAAGCCGATGCAAGAGATGTCAAATGCAAGAGAGTCTTGACACAGACTCTGTGATTGTTAAGTGGTGCCTGTACACTAGCCCAAAGGCAGAGGACATGACACGTGGGGAGTGTGAAAACCTGCGTGCTGGTCCCTCCGTGAGCTATGGCCCGTGGCCATACTCTCATTGTCAGTTGGGGAGTTGCTCGCTTTTGGGCCAGCGAGCCGGGGGAATCCTTGGCTCAGATGGTGCGGCTTTGCTTTGTGCGTATGGTTTGTACGGCCGACAGACGAGGCGTCTGTGCCATTTCCTCTGGGCTCAAGAATCTCTGCACGTGACCCTGCCAGGTCTAAAGTCAGACGCCTAGACACCACAGAATCATACTGCGTTTGTTGTTGTTTTGGTGTATGTGTGTGTGTGTGTATGTGGACGCTCTTGATGCGATGGGTACCCTAATCGAATTTTTATAAGTGGAGCAGAAAGAAGGAAAATAAAGTCATTTTTCATTCATCGTGGTTGGTGGATGCGTGGCTGGATCACATGCAACTGTTGGGCAATCAATTGTAGTCGCGGCCGCCTCTTTTTTAGGCATGGTTTCGCAGTCTGCGAACCTGTTCTGATCCATCTGAAGTAGCGGAGGGGTTCTGGGGAAGGGTCTTGCAAGCATCGGTCACGCCTGCCTTGGTCCTATTCAGCTTTGAGGTGTTCAGCAGGGGGGCCTGCCAGCATGCGGCAGGCGGACGGAAGTTCTTCGAACCTCCGGTTTTCAGCGGGGTGATCCTATTCTCGAGCACTGCCGCTGGCGAACAATTAGTCTAGGGCTTGAAACCGGTCAACCTGATCTGGAGGTGGGACAGTTGTGCGCGGCGGGATAGCTTGCAAGCCTGAAAGCAAGCGGCACCAATTTGAGGAAATCACCCCTTGGGTTCACGCCTACCCACTTTCTGTTCGTGAACTGAGTGGGTGGAGTATGTTTGCCACTCAATTCGCAACCAAGACATTGTCAACGAAGCAGCGGAAAAGGCCAGCAATTCGGACGTACGCGCACACTCACATCAGTCTGGTATTTCGAAGATAGTGGCGTGTTGATACAGTATGTTTCACCTAAAGCAACTGTGTGCATGTGTACACATATGAAGGGAGTGCATCTTCATGATCACCGCCGTCAGAGAAAGGAAGCAACATTTGCAGAGGTGACGGACCCGTTGGGGCCTTTCTGGGCTCCATCGCACCAAGGGTTCCATTTGTATTATGCCCTTTATACCCCCCCTCTTTCTTTTTCGGCCAGACTAGTGACTAGATCCCCGAAAAAGAACCTGATGTTCGGAGGGCCACCACCTTGCGGGTGCAATCCTGGGACCCTTCAGAGCAGAGCTGGCTTTTTTTTCTTCGACAGGCGCGGCTTCGGCTGCTGGTGCTAGCACTGCTGGCACTGAGTGCTAGGCCCCCGGAACTTGTAGCCAGAGTGTTGGCGAACGCTTCAAACGACTGGCACCCCCGAGCTTGCCGGAATTCCAAGGGAAGCCAACCAGAGTCCAGCAGGTTGGAAGAACCCGGAAATATTGATTTCCCTGACGTCAATGGTTGACTGCTGAGGAGGGTGGGCATTCATTCCGCTCACTCTACTGTGACTCCTCCCCGCACTTTCGGTGTCCAGAGGTCGACTCCCATGTTGAATGTGGCTCACATCATCCTTGTTGCCACTTGTTGGGTGCTGAAGTGGCCATATGGATCGGAGCGGGTCTTTGCATTTGGATTTCAATTCGTCCATGCTCCTATCAAGCACTTCTAGATCACGGGTGCTGATGGGAGCGGTGTATCGATCCGCCCCAAGGCCGACTCGTACAACGTGAATGTTGGAAGCAGCCCCAGCTCCAACATCAAATGTGCCGCAAGCCAAGAAAAATGCACCTGGGGATGTTGCGAGCTATCGATGTGTGCAGTTTGCTTTTCTCTTTGGTTTCACGCCTGGCAGCTGCTGACGAGCAAATGTTTCGGAAGACTTACCCTTTGTAGTGCCTACCCCATTGCACGAAATCTGAGGTTGCGCTTCCTAGTGATGTGACCTGCCCTTCAGTGTCCACACAGGCTATGCCAGAGGACGCTTGTCGATATGGTGCTGAAACGTTCCTGCAGGTCAATGAAGCCGGCAAGCGGCTCTCGCAGACTTCTCAGACCTCGCCGTGCACGCTGACCTCTCGTCTTCAAGTCGTGGCAGCTGAGGTTTAGACACTTTGTGGACAGCGATCATCAGCTGTGCTCTAGCACCACCGAACATGACGCCTGGAGCTTTGGCCTGGCGGTGCGCCCAGAGTCATGCGCTGTGCTTCCATTTGCTTGGGAATCGGTTTTGTTTTCCCCTGTTGGTTTTACAGTGAATCTATCACCAATGGAAGTATTGTTTTTCCGTGGATCTTAAGCAAATGGAGGTTTGGGTGTATTTTGCCGGTGTTGGTCCTTCCTTGATGCTTGCCCCCTAGGTTCATTGCTATGCAATATGCCGTGCCATGCAGGTAGGTGCCGCTTTGCCATATAGGTTTTAGGGAAAGAATGTGAGCCTCATGGATCAGCAGATCAGTTCAAGAGCCACCCGAGTTCCATCCCCCGAGCCACCCGAAGCGCCAGAGTCCCAGACCCGTCATCCGACGCCATCCGCCCGTGTGCCCATCCGCCATGGCGGATGCCGGGCAGCAGCTGCGATTCAGCGTGGTGTCCTTTGCGGGTCCGGGGGTGCCCCTGGCTGTGGTGGGTAGCTGCCCGTCCCTGGGCCAGTGGGACCCCCAAAAAGCCGCGCCTGGGACGGTCACTTGAGTACATCTTTTTTACCTGTACTGACATGATGGCAGCAAGCTTGTGTCAATCCTACCATTTTAGGGATTTGAGATGACTTGAGTCTTACATCTTATATCTTTGTGTCGTACTAAAATCGGTCTGAAATTTGATTTGGAGCAGCCTCACACCAAGAAATCCCCAAGATGATCAACATAGGCTCCCTACTGAGAACTCATACTCGAATTGAAAAATAGAACAAAACACGGATCCTGTGGGGTTGACAATTGAGGTGGTTATGCAGCCACGGCACGGGGATATGCGGCTCCAGTCAGAGCCAGACTTCCACTGGGCGGATATCTTCTGCCCGGAGGTCTTGGCGGAGCCTGGGTCGAGTGTGTTTTTGTGTTGTGCGTTTGTGCGTTATTTTGTTTTTGGAGGGTAGTTGTTTTGTTATTTTTGTTAAAGCGATACCAAGACACCTATTATTGTTTTATCGTTTGTTTAATTGTTTTTTTGTTTTTTTGGGGGGAGGTTAGTTTTTTGTTTTGTTTAAAGGGACACCAAGACACCAATATGAAAGAAGCTGACGTAAAACGCGGAGGGGTCCCCCAAGTTCAGACTTTAGCCAGGCTTTGTCCTCCATGTCGTGTCGTGGAAAAAGGACGAATTCTGGATTTAGGCCTGCAATTGGCCATTCCCTCACCCTTCCGCAAGAAAAGTTTGGCACAGTCGAAGAAATGACTCGTGTTGCCCAGGGGGAGAAGGTGGAGTACAAGTTTCTGGAAAAACATGGCCACGGGGTGAAGTGGGAGGAGCTTGGAGCGAACAAGAATCGCTGCCTGGATCGCGGAGCTTTCTCGGACGGGATGGGCAAGTTGCATTGGGAAGGAAACGGGCCGGATGTGAATGGTCACCCGACTGGGCCAAACCCTGGAGGACTCGACAAGTCCTCTGGTCCTCCTGGAAGTGGTTCGCTTTGCAGACCCCAATGGTGCGGAGAGCGACCATACAGCCCGCTTCTATCAAGGCGTGAAAGAGCGCGGCGAGATCTCCATCCGCAAGGTAGGGAAATTGGAAAGGAAGTGTGTCTTGAACAGAAAAGATTCAGACATGGACTGGTGGTTGCCCTCCGAAGAAAGAACCATAATAACAAACAGAAACAACTGACTATACCCTCTAAAATCCCTCATGAAACGAAGGACAAATCATTGCGGTTCGCCGAATGTGAATCCGAACATGGGAGGACGAAGCGGACCTTCGCCAATGTTCACACAAATCTCAGGATGGTCGACCGCGAATGTTCACGTGACAGGGTCGGACACACGCTGTCCAATGGAACGTGTTGGGAGCAAAAGGTGCATCCTTTCCGCCCATGCGCCTGCTTGTTTGCGCAGGTCCTGAACAATTTGTATGTGGGCTCCTGTCCCAGACAGCAGACGCACATCGAGACCTTGAACCTTCTGGGAGCCTTGACACTGCAAAGACCTCATGGATTGGCTGGCGCAATTTGCTGGTGTAACTCAGGGATTCCTGGAGGCCCCACCAGTGGGGGACTTTCCGAAGAACACTCATGAAGCGGATATATTTAGATGCTGGCAACGAATATGGGACTTTGATGTGCATTAGGAAACCCCCAAATTGTCTGGAGCCGTTGCTTTGCCATGGGTTCAAACGTTCGGCGGCTTCGGCTTCTCCATTGCTTCTTAATGTGTGGAGAAAACATTTCGGAGTCACCAAATCGCAGTCCGTGGCAAATACTTGTCGAAACCTGCCAAGTGGATGTGGGTCAAAAATAGGTACCCAAAATGAAACCCTGGTAAATGGAACCAAAGACTAAAACCTGCGGTCCCCTGGTGGCCTAATTTTGACCCACACCCAAGTGAGGAGTGACGTGTGTGGTGAACTTCCAGACTGAGGAGGACTGCAAAAGGAATTGCGTGGCGGGCATCGGCATGGAAGAGGATCCCCTGGCAGTGAGCCGGATCTATGTGACCCAGTTGCCCAGTGGCGCCCGGTTTTTCCTTTTGGTTTTTTAAGGGGTTCCCTTGAAAATCAAGAGCAAAGGTTTGGGGGCACTGGGCTGAGGAGAGCAAGGGCATGCAATACATTTGGATGCCCACCTTCGACATGTCCACGGACGGGCGGGCGCAGATGTTGCCCCAGGCCTCCTTCCTTTTCGCGGAACTCATCAGGCGACGAAATTCAGGGTTGGAACTCCTTCAAAAACTCAGGGACAGATAGTAGATTGAAGGACCCCCTAGAGCCCCTCGAAGGCTTCTCAGAGCCTTTTGCTAGGGTCTGGGCGGAATTTGGTTTTCGCCCTCAAGATGGGTGATGAATTCCCGGTTCGGACCGCTAAATTGCATAGGAGGGGCCACACGGTGTACAGCCACTGCAACGCGGGGGTGGGCCGCTCAGTGGCGGCGGCCTGTGGGTATTTGGTCTTCGCGCTGGGTCTGGAGATGCGGCAGATGCAGCATGTGATGGCCAGCTGCCGTCCCGTGGCGTTCTTCGACTTCGAGGCCCTCAACCGGGCCAGGGACAAGAAGCTCGCTTGCTCTTGGGAGGGCCGGGGTTGGGGATGGGTTGGGGGGCTGGGGTGGGGTGGGTGGGTGGTTCTTGATTGCTGGTTGCCAGTGCAGGGGAGATTCCTTTTTCCATCGGGGGTGGGGTTTGGTGGGTTCGCAAGGCCTTTGATTCGCACAAAAGATCAATTTGCACCGGGTTGAATTTCCAAGGTACCAGAAGATGTTCGGCAAGGACACGGATGCCGAGGCGGACAAGCGATGCAAGGAGCAGTTTGATGTTGGTTTGGGTGCCAAATAGCTCATGTGTGCGAAGTAAGAAGAGTTGGGAGTGGCCGCTGCTAGGCGCAGCCACCATATTCATATTCACACCGCGCAGTTTGGGATGCACGGGGGCTTGTTGAACAAAAACGTTGGCAAGAATATGGTTTCTTTTTTGGCTTCATGCTCAGAGCCTTGAACACAAGCGCGACATGGCCTGTGCGACATGGCCTATCCTAATTGCAGGAGGAAGCACTGGCACTTCTTTGAGTGCGCGTCCTTGGCGGCTATGCTTTGTTAATAGTTGATGAACTCAATATCGTTTCGGCGAGAAAAAAACACTGCGTCCGGCGGCATGACGACTGCCTGCGTCACAATTCCAGGTGTTGAAGCGCCAGGACGATGACTGCTTTGAATGTGTGACCAGAGGATCCCCACATTCGGGGTGGTGTCACAAGGATACCAATAGGATGCCAACAGCGCCTTTGAGACAGTGACCACATTGCTGTTTGAAGGCCAAACCAGATTTGGCTGGGTTGGTGGTAGGTGATATCATCTAAGGTTCTGCAGTGCAACTCCGGCGACGTGCACGCAGCTGCCTTGATGATCGGAAGAATTCTGTACGGCTATGGGCTGTTAGTTGGCAGACACTGCCATCCGACATTCTGTGGAAGCGGTGATTCATGTTGATTGGCCAGAGACAGCTACGCCATGCATGTCGAGGCAGCCGAGTCCACGGCGAGGGGCTGAACTGAGTATTTGCCTTTGAGTTTTGAAAGGGAACGCCCTCAAGCATGGCTGATGCATTTCCATGCAAAGGATAATATTCATCCGAGGGTCCATGTTTTGTTTTTATGTTTGCTTCAATCGGTGTGGCAATGTTCAAGTTGCGAGGCTGGTTTCTCGGTGGATTTGGTCGTCGGCAGTAGCCTCAACAACCACTTGAAATGTGCTGGAGCCTCAGCGAAAGGGAACGTGACGGGCTCTTTGCCCTTGGATTTTGCAATCGAAGGAAGCTGACTTTGGACCAACAGCCATCCTGGTGTTTCTCGTTGGTTGGTATTTAAAGGGAAACAAAAACGAAACCAACCTTGTAGGGGACCACTATCTTTAGAAACTGCTTTGGCATCGCGGAGCCCAGCGATATGCTTGCGTCACCAGGTGACGCCTGCCGGACCTATGAACTGTCCTCCAACAGCTCAGGCTGGGCCGAACGCTGGCTTCAGCCGTAGCCGGTGTACAAGAGCTGGAGTGGTCGCTAGCAAACAACCTGTCAACTCTAAACACTGAGCCCTAAAAAGACAAAGCCCAAACCCAACAAGGCAAAACCCAAGACACCCAAACGTACATCCTAAAGAGACCCAAGCCCTAAACCCTAAGCCCTAGAAGCTCTAGACCTTAACACTAAAACAAGCCAAGCTCAAAGCCCTAAAGCCCCGTAAACCCCTAAACCAAACCCTGCACGCAAGCCCTAAAACCCTGGTCCAAAAAGTCCCCAATCCTCAACGAAACCAAACCAAAGCCTCTCCAACCCTGTCGGACAAACTCGCTTTGGTCCGGGCAAAGGGCCGAGCTTGGTCGGCGCGAGTGACCGGACACCCCCGTGTTTTTTTCATGTGGCAGGACCCCCGTGTTTTTTTCATGTGGCAGGCATGTCTCCAGAGCTGAGCGTGTGTGTGTGCTCTCGATTTTGGGTCATGTCCCCCTTTCATTTGGCAGACCGCTTTCTATTTCTACCAGGAATCCCAATTTGTGCAGATGTCCAGTCGCGCTGCACCCCGGATAGTATTTACGCGGGGCTACCGGTCTAGCATAACTCCTCTCATCTCCTCTCATTTACATTTGCGCAAATGTATCTCCATTGTCGAAGTGATCCTCGAACAAGCAGCGGGTCTTGCAGATCGATTTGGCAGGCACACCCTTTGAGCGGTCATCCAGATACGTCGCGGCTTCAGCGAGCAAGGGATGCATTTTCCAAGGTCGGACACTAGACTGGTAGGCCCGTTTTGACGCCTTGAGGTTCAAGATCTTCAAGCAGCCGAATGGCAACATTTGCGCTGAGCGCACAGATCATCCAGATCCATGGGGCGTTCACTTGGTCGGCGGCCTCAGAACAACCGCCATGGATCAGGAATTCATTGGAAGGCTATGGGCTGTTCGTGTGCAACACGTTCAAAATTGGGTGGGTCTGAGTACACCTTATTGTGGGAGGGGGGGCAATTCATATACAGATGAATCGGATATGACTATAACACCAGATTGAACACACATGGTACGTGCATGAGAGATCTGTGGGTAATCGCGGGCGATCCAGGTGATTACCTGCAGCAAGGCGCTTTGGCTGAATTGCCTGTGTGTGCATATTTGTGCAGATGTAGTCTGTAGTTTCTGTAATGGTGAAACTTTTGTTTGCCGATGTTTGCGTCGTTTGCATGCGTTTGCATTGCCGTCACTACCGGTACTTGCTTGGTGATTTGGCAAGCTGAGAGGGAGCAGAGCAGAGTTGAGAGACAGTTGCAGGTCGGAAACTGGGTGGAGCCAAAATACCAGGATGCAGCGGGGGTGGCGGGGCGGTGCAGAAGTTCAGAATCCATGAGCCAAACTGCAGAGAGCACGGACGATGATCTTTTGACAGGAATCCCATGTGTCCTCCAGCATGGTGGCCATCACAGTGGGTAGCTCTTTGGATTCCAACAAGAAGTGCGCAGGGGCCTGAGCTGCTATGATTCAACATCAGGGGCCTGTGGGGTTTCCCTGAGCACCAAATATGGAGGTGCGTCACTGATCTTGGCACATTCCCATCTTTTGGCTTTGGGAATCCGCTTGCCAGTCATCAGGTGGAAGACCCTGGACACGTGACGTGCGACAACGAAGCCTCCGCTCGGGGTCGCGATGATAAATGGCCTGACAAGCACCCCTGGCTGCAAGCAGTGAATGCGCACCGACACCCTCAGATTGCTGGCAACGAGCTGCAAAGGTTCGAGGTCACCCATGAAGATGGACAGATTTGCGCTCGGCGAGTGGATCATGCAGATCCCTGGGGCATGCATTTGGCTGGACACCTACGGCAGCGTAATTTTTCACTTTCTGTCTTAAGCAGTGTGCGCATGTCAGTTCCAGATTTTGGCGCGCTGGGATTGGTGCTTGCTTTTAATAGCTTTTGCATGCATTTTTGCACTGAGGTTCTCCACTGCTTGCACTCCAAGGTGCAAAGATGTGCTTGACCTTATCGAACATTGTCATACACAGTTGCACAACAGCCACCCTGCGTGCAGCCAGGATGCCAAGAGTCAGATCGTCAGCGACAAAGAGTTTTTTGAGGAGGCGCGCCAGCGCTTTCCCCTGCGGAGTACTGCTTGTTGGGGCTGAAGCCCAGCTCGGATCGAGTCGCAGTATCCTCAGAAATAGATTTTGTGTAGTGGCTCGCTTGCAGTCGTGTTTGCTTTGTGTGCTTTGGTGGCAGGTAGCCTCTTTCCAACAATAGAAGCCGACCATGTCGGTTACATCGTAAACCAACCCCAGTCCACTTCCGAAATCCACTACGATTGCAACATGGGTTGCTTTCCTGCCTTCAAACTCAGCTCCTCAGGCGCAAAAACAGATGCCAGCCGCAGCAGCGATGGCGCCTGGCTATCCCAACTCCGTCTCTTTGCAGGCAACTCGCTGCTCATATTGGCTTGTTAACACTTGGTGGTTTCCGCTGCAGCGCAGCACCTTGCAAAGAAGAGAACATGCAAAGCAGTTCCCAATCATTGTGCTGTGCTGGCGGTTCTTGTATCCTTTGTGGGTGCAGGGCGCAGCGGGCGCAGCGGGCGCAGCGGGTGCAGCGGGCGCAGCGGGCGCAGCGGGCGCAGCGGGCACTGCAGCAAGGGACTGAAGTCAGCGCTTGTGAGCATTTTGCTCCTCTGTGTTGCGAGCAAGCGACTGTGCAGATTCGCACTCTTCACCAAGGCAGCGGGCGAGGCCGCCGGCAACACGGTGGCCATCCCGGTTGGCAAATCGCTGCATTCCAACAAGAAGTGCGCAGCGCGCCAAGATATTTTTTCGCACCGGCTTACTCTGAAGTTTTGTTCATGCTTAACATAGAGCCTCAGAGCTTGGCTTGCAGTGATCAGGTGGACGACCCTGGTCACGTGCTTTGTGACAACGAAGCCTCTTCCAGGGGCCGCAACGACAAATGGCCCGACACGTTCCCTTGGTTGCAAGCAGCAAGCACGTATAGACAGAATGCTCACGGCTTGAATGCTGGCAGCAAGCATTTGCACAGGTTTGAGGTCACCCACGAGAATGGGAAGATCTGCGCTCGGCGAACTGATTACGAAGTTCCTTGGGGTATGGACTTGGCTGGGCGCCTAGCCACCGCACGCGCAGCGCAGCTGTCAGCCTGGTTGCAACGTTCGCACGGCTCTTTGTGTTTTTGAGGTCCTCCACTGCTTGCACTCCCAGGTGCCAGCTGCATCATCAATTTTGTTGTACAGAAAACTTGGTGTGCTGGCAGTTTGCAAGACCTTTGCGTTTTGCGCGCAGGATGCAGCATCTCGAGTTGTCAGCAACAAGGAGTTCTTGGTCGAGGCACGAGAAGAGAGAGCGTACACAGGTCACCTGAGGGCAGACTCGGCCGGTTCTGTGAGTAGGATTGGGTAAGACGGTAGTAGCTGCACGCTACATGCTTCGCCCCTCGAGTTGGCAGCAGGGTGTCCCCCCCCCCACGGCTTGCTTGCTTGCTTGCTGTGCTGCTCTTGCCGTGAGGCCAAGAGCGAAATGACGGGGGCACAGGTAGAGGCCCTTGTGGAGTCCGGGGCAGCTTCGGAGGCGTACTGTAAGGGAGCATGCACAGCATTTCCTGAATTTGTGCTGTGGCTTGCTGTTCTTGTATCCTTTGTGGGCGCAGGGGGCAGCGGGCGCCGCGGGTGCAGCGGGCGCAGCGGGCACTGCAGCAAGGGACTGAAGTCAGCGCTTGTGAGCATTTTGCTCCTCTGTGTTGCAAGCAAGCGACTGTGCAGATTCGCACTCTTCACCAAGGCAGCGGGCGAGGCCGCCGGCAACACGGTGGCCATCCCGGTTGGCAAATCGCTGCATTCCAACAAGAAGTGCGCAGCGCGCCAAGATATTTTTTCGCACCGGCTTACTCTGAAGTTTTGTTCATGCTTAACATAGAGCCTCAGAGCTTGGCTTGCAGTGATCAGGTGGACGACCCTGGTCACGTGCTTTGTGACAACGAAGCCTCTTCCAGGGGCCGCAACGACAAATGGCCCGACACGTTCCCTTGGTTGCAAGCAGCAAGCACGTATAGACAGAATGCTCACGGCTTGAATGCTGGCAGCAAGCATTTGCACAGGTTTGAGGTCACCCACGAGAATGGGAAGATCTGCGCTCGGCGAACTGATTACGAAGTTCCTTGGGGTATGGACTTGGCTGGGCGCCTAGCCACCGCACGCGCAAGCGCAGCTGTCAGCCTGGTTGCAACGTTCGCACGGCTCTTTGTGTTTTTGAGGTCCTCCACTGCTTGCACTCCCAGGTGCCAGCTGCATCATTAATTTCGTTGTACAGAAAACTTGGTGTGCTGGCAGTTTGCAAGACCTTTGCGTTTTGCGCGCAGGATGCAGCATCTCGAGTTGTCAGCAACAAGGAGTTCTTGGTCGAGGCACGAGAAGAGAGAGCGTACACAGGTCACCTGAGGGCATACTCGGCCGGTTCTGTGAGTAGGATTGGGTAAGACGGTAGTAGCTGCACGCTACATGCTTCGCCCCTCGAGTTGGCAGCAGGGTGTCCCCCCCCCCACGGCTTGCTTGCTTGCTTGCTGTGCTGCTCTTGCCGTGAGGCCAAGAGCGAAATGACGGGGGCACAGGTAGAGGCCCTTGTGGAGTCCGGGGCAGCTTCGGAGGCGTACTGTAAGGGAGCATGCACAGCATTTCCTGAATTTGTGCTGTGGCTTGCTGTTCTTGTATCCTTTGTGGGCGCAGGGCGCAGCGGGCGCCGCGGGTGCAGCGGGCGCAGCGGGCACTGCAGCAAGGGACTGAAGTCAGCGCTTGTGAGCATTTTGCTCCTCTGTGTTGCAAGCAAGCGACTGTGCAGATTCGCACTCTTCACCAAGGCAGCGGGCGAGGCCGCCGGCAACACGGTGGCCATCCCGGTTGGCAAATCGCTGCATTCCAACAAGAAGTGCGCAGCGCGCCAAGATATTTTTTCGCACCGGCTTACTCTGAAGTTTTGTTCATGCTTAACATAGAGCCTCAGAGCTTGGCTTGCAGTGATCAGGTGGACGACCCTGGTCACGTGCTTTGTGACAACGAAGCCTCTTCCAGGGGCCGCAACGACAAATGGCCCGACACGTTCCCTTGGTTGCAAGCAGCAAGCACGTATAGACAGAATGCTCACGGCTTGAATGCTGGCAGCAAGCATTTGCACAGGTTTGAGGTCACCCACGAGAATGGGAAGATCTGCGCTCGGCGAACTGATTACGAAGTTCCTTGGGGTATGGACTTGGCTGGGCGCCTAGCCACCGCACGCGCAGCGCAGCTGTCAGCCTGGTTGCAACGTTCGCACGGCTCTTTGTGTTTTTGAGGTCCTCCACTGCTTGCACTCCCAGGTGCCAGCTGCATCATTAATTTCGTTGTACAGAAAACTTGGTGTGCTGGCAGTTTGAAAGACCTTTGCGTTTTGCGCGCAGGATGCAGCATCTCGAGTTGTCAGCAACAAGGAGTTCTTGGTCGAGGCACGAGAAGAGAGAGCGTACACAGGTCACCTGAGGGCAGACTCGGCCGGTTCTGTGAGTAGGATTGGGTAAGACGGTAGTAGCTGCACGCTACATGCTTCGCCCCTCGAGTTGGCAGCAGGGTGTCCCCCCCCCCACGGCTTGCTTGCTTGCTTGCTGTGCTGCTCTTGCCGTGAGGCCAAGAGCGAAATGACGGGGGCACAGGTAGAGGCCCTTGTGGAGTCCGGGGCAGCTTCGGAGGCGTACTGTAAGGGAGCATGCACAGCATTTCCTGAATTTGTGCTGTGGCTTGCTGTTCTTGTATCCTTTGTGGGCGCAGGGCGCAGCGGGCGCCGCGGGTGCAGCGGGCGCAGCGGGCACTGCAGCAAGGGACTGAAGTCAGCGCTTGTGAGCATTTTGCTCCTCTGTGTTGCAAGCAAGCGACTGTGCAGATTCGCACTCTTCACCAAGGCAGCGGGCGAGGCCGCCGATGGCTCGGTGGACTTGGTCATTGGCAGCAGCCTCACTGCAAACCTGAAGTGCGCTGGGACCTGAGTTGAAGTTTCATGCCCGCCGACTCACTTCATCTCGCCCAGGTGACACCTGTCGGCCCCATGACTTGTCCTCCAACAGCCTCTCAGGCGCTGGGCAAAACAAGCCCTGGCTTTCAAGCTGATGGATCACTGGGCATTCGTTGCTACGACTTGTAAGTCCACTACAGCAGTGGTTTGCTGCTGTTAGCCGTT